CGACCATCTTCAGAACCTACGTGGAGTTTAGGGTTTAGGGTTTAGGGTTTAGGGTTTAGGGTTCAGGGTTCAGGGTTCAGGGTTTAGGGTTTAGGGTTTAGGGTTTAGGGTTTAGGGTTTAGGGTTTAGGGTTTAGGGTTTAGAGTTTAGGGTTTAGGGTTTAGGGTTTAGGGTTTAGGGTTTAGGGTTTAGGGTTTAGGGTTTAGGGTTTAGGGTTTAGGGTTTAGGGTTTAGGGTTTGGCTCCGGTCGGCAAGAGTTTGGGTGAGTTTGGGGGGGTTTGGGTGGGTTTTGGGTGGGTTTGGGTGGGTTTTGGGGGGTGTTGTTCGGGGGGTTTGGGTCTTAGAGGGTTTGAGACCCCTAAGCCCCAAAACCCTGAAACTATTTGGGGGTCTTTAGTCGGAGTCCCTTATTGTCGTAAACCCCCACATGTCCGGAAGAAGCTCGGACCAGTTTGTGGGGGTCAGCTTAATGCCGGGCCTTCTTCTTTGGTTGTCGCACCAGCAAATCCATTCCGGCCTGCCGCCTGTATAGCCCAAAACCCTGTAAAACCTAAAAACCCTATAAACCCCCAAAAACCTATAAACCTATAAAGCCTAATCAAAACCCTATAAACCTCAAAACCCTACCCTGTAAAGCCCCAACAAATCGCGGCCTCGGCCTCCGCGGCGGAGGGCGCCGGCCTCGGCGCCGCGCGCAGCGCGGCCGCGGCGAAGCCGCGGGGTTCCGGGGCGGCCTCCAGGCGGAGCAGCGCCTCGTTAAGTTGAGCTTTTGCGGGGAGGGTTTTGAGGTTAAGGGTTTAGGGTTTAGGGTTTAGGGTTTAGGGTTTAGGGTTTAGGGTTTAGGGTTTAGGGTTCAGGGTGTTTGCGTGTAGGGTGGCAGGGAATGCTAGGGAGCGAGCTTTTGTCTGGACCCGCAACTAAAGTCACCCTACTTACAATGTCCAAGTGCAAGTAAGCAGGAAACATTTTCTCAAGCATACCCCAAACCCTAGATCCTAAACATCAGACACGCGATTCACGTGAGCTAGAAGAAACCTCAAGACAACCTCTGTACAACGGGGCTGCTCCTTCCCCAAGTAGCAATCGCCGTCCTTCAGGGGCTAAGCCCTCCCTACAAACTCTTGAGCCCCTACCCTTAAACCCACGAGCCCCTACACCACCTGAACCCTTTAACACGAGGCAAGCCCTTGAACCCTCAAAAGCCCTAAACATCCCTGACATTCTTGGTAGCCCAGTAACCACAGTACAATAAGGTCATCCTTTTTGGGGGCTTGCTACTTTATGAAAAAGAAAACCCTTGAACCCCAAAAACTTTATAAGAGAACCTTGAACCCCCAAAACAAGGGGAAAAGGTACCACTGGGCTACCAAGCATTTAAAATTTCCACGATGCAGACATCCCACTGCCTCCACCTGCTCAAGCACGCGCTCGGGCTCGCGCACGAGATCCTCGTAACCTTGCTGGCCCCACAGCTAAAACCCTAAACCCTAAACCCTAAACCCTAAACACCCTAAACCCCAATCCCTAAACCCTATACCCTAGAAAGCATCCCGGGCCCCTGGCTTCCTCACATCACAAAGAGGTTCTGGGGTGTTGGGGCTTAGGGTGTAGGGTACCGGGTTTCACGCGCAGGGTTTCGGCTTCAAGGCTCCCCAAACCCTAAACCCTAAACCTAAACCCTAAACCCTACACCCTAAACCCTACACCCTAAACCCTAAACCCTGAACCCTAAACCCTAAACCCTAAACCCTAAACCCTATAAACCCTAAACCCTAAACCCGCGCAACTCTTAGCCCTGGAGCTCCCATCCCAAATCCCAATTTCGCGGAAGCTTAGAAGGAATTACGCTCATGTGCTGTTATATACTGTGACTTACACGAAGGATACCATTCTACTAATATGTTGTAATGAATATGTGCGGATGTACTAGGGTTTAGGGTTGGGTTTGGGGCTGAGGGTTGAGGGCTTGTAAGGCTTGAGGCTTGGGTTTAAACCTTAATTGATCCCCAAATCCCGGAAAGCCCAAGCCTATACCCTAAACCCTAAACCCTAAACCCTAAACCCTAAACCCTAAACCCTAAACCCTAAACCCTAAACCCTAAACCCTATCCACCCGCCCCTAGATCCCGGATCCCTGAAGCCCTTTCATCCTTGGACCCTTACACACGTCAACCCTTAAACTTAGACCCTTGCACTTGGGGTTTAGGTTGAAATGTTCCCTCTTATACTATAACAGTCCTTAACCGGATGATAATAGGGGTGTACTATAATCCCTATTGGACTGTTAGTCTAGGGGGGAACATCCCAAGGTTTAGGATGTAAGGTTTAGGGATTGGGGATCCTAAGCCCCACTCGGAGGTTCATGGTGCTTGTTAACCAAGTATAACTGTACTTATAACTGTACTTATAACCATATTAGGGCACGTAAGGGGCTTATAAGTGGGTAATAGCCCTAAACCCTAAACCCTAAACCCGAAACCCTAAACCCTAAACCCTAAACCCCCATGAACCTCCAAGCACAGCCCGAAACCCGCCAAGGCCCGGACGCAGCTCGAGGCCGCCACCCGCTTCCAGGCCTCTCCGCGCGGCCCGCACCTCGGCGGCTCTTTGAAGTGGGTTTAGGGTTTAGGGTTTAGGGTTTAGGGTTTAGGGTTTAGGGTTTAGGGTTTAGGGTTTAGGGTTTAGGGTTTAGGGTTTAGGGTTTAGGATTTAGGGTTTAGGGTTTAGGGTTTAGGGTTTAGGGCTCAGGGTTTAGGGTTTAGGGTTTAGGGTTTCGGGTTTAGGGTTTATCTTAGTAGGGAATGGGGGAATGAGGCCCTACTTATACCCTTTAAGGGATTATATAGGGCCCTCATTCCCTCATTCCCTACTAAGAACAGGGGGTCAAGACACTCTGAAAGACGTCTAGGGCTTCAGGGCTTTAGGGTTTTAGGATTTAGGGTTTAGGGTTTGGGGTTTGGGGTTTAGGGTTGCGGGCTTATAGGGTTTTGGGATGATCCTCTTAAACCCAAAAAAGGGAAAAGATCAAATATTACCCTAAGGGCCTGCCTGGGGGAGTTTGCTGCGGGGCTATTCTCGGATTAGCGTTTATAAGGCCTGGGATTGTTTTTCGGGATCCAGAGTTTTAAGGGTTTCGGTTAAATAGGCCAAGGTGAACAAGAACCCTAAACTTCAGAAGCCCGAAGCGCGCTGGCTGCACTGCAACTGCCACCCTAACCCTAAACCCTACACCCTTAACCCTAATCCCTAATCCCCTCATCCCTAAACCCTGAACCCTATACCTAATCCCTAAACAGCCCTAAACCCTAAACCCTAAACCTAAACAGCCCTAAACCCTAATCCCCAAACAGCCCTGAACCCTAAACCCTAAACCCTAAACCCTAAACCCCAAACCCCAACGCCCCAAAGAAAGGAAGTCGAGGACCCGGCGCTCAGGGCCCACTCCACCAGACCCCGGGCGAAGTCGCGGCTTGCAGATGGCGCCTGGAAAGGGGCTATAGGGCTTCGATTCCTTTAGGGTTCAGGGTTTAGGGTTTAGGGTTTAGGGTTTAGGGTTTAGGGTTTAGGGTTTAGGGTTTAGGGTTTGGGGTTTAGGGTTTAGGGTTTAGGGTTTAGGGTTTATGTTTTTGTTTTGTTTCCCCTTTTTTGTTCGGGTTTATAGGGTTTCTATTAGGGTTTGTTTCTAGGATTTCCATTAGGGTTTTTGTGTTTTTTCTTTGTGTCCGGGCTTTTGGGGTTGATAGGGTTTTGTAGGCTTTTGTTACGGGGTTTGTAGGTTTTTTTACAGGGTTCCTATAGGGGTTTATAGAGTTTACAGGGTTTACAGGGTTTATAGGGTTTATAGGGTTTAGGGGAAGTGGGGCGTTCATGGTGTTAAGGGCGTTTAGGGTTTATAGGGTTTATAGAGTTTATAGGGTTTATAGGGTTTATAGGGTTTATAGAGTTTATAGGGTTTAGAGGGTTTAGAGGGTTTATAGGGTTTATAAGTTTTTTTTTCTGAGGTCATGGGTTTATTTTCTGGGTTTAGGGGGTCTATAGGGTTTACAGGGTTTATGGGGCTTATACAGGGTTTACGGTTTAGGGGGATTGGGGTTCAGGGATGTGGGGCCTAGGGTCTCGTTGTAAGCTGGCCCTCTGGTAAGAGGGCTCGCAGGGTTTTCGAGAAAACCCTGGGCAAACGCGTGAACCCTGGGAAAACAAAATCCCGAAAACATGCAACGAAGGCGCTGTAGGAATATCAAGTCCGCAACAACCATTTGAAACAAGAAACGAAAGAAAGCCACAAGCCCTCTGAAGGGCTTTGCGCATTCAAGTCTCTCCGGCTGGGCTATCCGCGGGCTTTTCCGGCTCTAGGGCTCTGACTCTGCTCGGTCCGCTTGTAAGATGCCGTGAATGCAGAAGTTGTTGAAAAACTCTCCCTCCAGCACCTGCAACTTGAAGTACTTCACTACGTGATCCGGCGCGTCGCATGCCGCCATGCTGCCAGGAGCGAATCCGGCGCTTGTCCGAAACCACGGTTTAGGGTTTAGGGTTTAGGGTTTAGGGTTTAGGGTTTAGGGTTTAGGGTTTAGGGTTTAGGGTTTAGGGTTTAGGGTTTAGGGTTTAGGGTTTAGGGTTTAGGGTCCAACTGGCCCCATCTGGAGAGCAGAAGACCTCAAAATGCACTGTGCTCGGGACCTCGTTGGCCGGAAGGAGAACCCGGAGAGGTACACCGAGAACTAGTTCATGGTTGGGATAGTATTAAAATTTTAAAATTATATTCCTTATTGGGTTTAAGTACCCTTAAAAATGTAAAATGTTACCCAACTACGACAAAGAGAAGTGGGGGATCACCCAGGTCACCTAGCTGCCTTGCATCCGCAGGGGTATGTCCTTGTTGCAGGCGAGCAATCGCACGCGTTCCTCGCTGTTAGGGAAGCTTACGCCAGTCAAAGAAATCCCAGAATCAGCGTCACCCAGTGCCCAATGAAGACACCCCGATTTCCAGTCGGCACATCCAGCTAGCGGTCCCCCAGAGTTTTCAAGACCGTGCTGTGCTGTGCAGGCCGTCGGTTGCTCAGCTTGCTCAGCTCCGACATGAAGCGTGATATGATGGGCTGCTGCGAATCGTCGTCCATGGCTGCTGCCTTTCGCTTCTTCTGATTGCCCCAGGCCGATAGCAGCCTCCTCAGCGCCTCGTTCTCTATGCACAACAGATTCGAGCTCAGAAGTTCCGACAACAGCTGGGGGCTCAGGTTCTGCCCGTCTTTCAACGCCTCACCCGGATGGATCAAGATCTGCTCTTTGGCAGACCGTCGGATGCTTGCAAGTCTGAGGCGGTCTGCGGATTCGAAGGCTGCGCAGGCCATGGCTGGCTTCAACCCATGCTGGCACGCCTGCACGCAGAGGGCGTGCAGTCGGTGAACCTGATACTTGTCTGCCACTGCCGCCACCTCCACCAGGGTCAGCAAGGAGCCCTCCACCATTCCGGAGTACAAGAAGCGGAGGAAGGATTCTACCGCGGCTGCCGAGAAATCGCAGATTACCACCTGAGCTGTCTGGGCCTCTTCGAAGTTGCCCGAGTTGACCATCTTGTCCAGGACCGGCGAGCCCTTGGCCAGCAGCCAAGACCAAACCTTGAACTCGACTCGACCTACTTCTGCAGACTCTTTCTGAACCTCCTCCACGACGACCGTGAAATCGCCTCCTCGCCCAAAAGCAAGCCTTCCAGATGTCGGCTGCAAAATCAAGGTCCCTTTCAACAAGCGTTTCCATGGGTCACTTCGCACAGGGGGCGTGGACAACACTGATCCTCTTCTTCCTTCCTTGGCCAGTGGCTAGCCGAGTAGAAGCATCGGGGTTGAAGATGTCTTTTCGGACAAGGGGCAGCTTTCCCTACCTTATTCTTGCTTATGGGAAGCCTGCATCTGCTGAGTTCTCAAAGACATGCTCCTGTTTGGGGGTCCCTGCTAGACTCGCTAGACCTCAGCCACTGCCTTAGAGGGGACCATAATATAGAGAATTGCCCGGCTAGCGCAAAGTCTCTCGCCTCCAAGTGCGCGATGAACTCGTCAGCCACCTGCCGTTGATTGAGCAAAAAACTTTTGGGTTCCGTTTAAGGCACGCAAACTAGGTTGCAATCATGAGGGGGGGGGGGGGGGTTCCCTACTACTTCGCTTTGTATTGTGGTACCTAGCAGGGGGGGTGGGGGTGGCAGTAGGGGAACCCATGAAAGGTGTAGTGTCCCTCTTGCGGCAACACACTGTTAAGTTCCTTAATTGGAACCGCCTTACACACATTTGATCCAGGCCAAACGTCCAAAAAACCCAAGTTCTCAAAACCCTAACTAAACCCTAGACACTAAATCCTAAACCCTAAACCCTAAACCCTTAGGGACCCTAAACCTTAAACCCTAGCGCTTCAGGGCTAGGAAATTCTGTGATACTGTCCCAATCGCCACCCTCACAGTGATCAGCAGTGGATTGCTGCTAAGGACCTTAGACTAGGGTTTAGGGTTTAGTTTGGGGTTTGGGGTTTAGGGTTTAGGGTTCAGGGGTTAATAATGACTTGGAGTTTAGGCTTTAGGATTTCCAAAAAAACGCTCCTTCAATCCCCCCGCCAAAAAAAAACACTCGACCTGGAAGCCCTGTTGTGCGCAACCCCCGTGTTCGGATCATGAGGGCATTTTGGGGACCGTTGAAGGGACTTAGGCACACCTTAATCCCCGAACCAAAGCCTCAACTCAACCCTCAAAGGTTTAGGGTTTAGGGCTTAGGGTTTAGGGTACGTCTACAGCCCAAAGTCGCACGTACAACCAGAAACATGATTCGTGTGCAGGGTGGCAGGGCTTAGGGTTTTGGGTTTGTGGGGTGCATTATAGGGTCCTTAAGAAAGCGAGGTTCACGGGGGTTAGTACCTACGGACACTCCTACCCCTCGAAACCTTAAACCCTAAACCCTAAACCGTAAACCCTAAACCCTAAACCCTAAACCCTAAACCATAGGCCGCCCACGCCAGGCGGCGGCCGGTACAACTCAACGCTACCGCTTCGAGATCTGCTTGCTTTGCCGCAGATCGAGCTTGCCACACCTGATGCATCCCTGCTAGCCATTGGGCACAATGTAATAATGGATTAAACCCTAAACCCCTGACGCGCGACCCTGGCGGGGGGAGGTCGGGCCCTAAGAAGCCCCTGCGCCCCCGCCGTAGCCCCCGCCAGGGTTCCCCCCGCCAGTGCCCTGCCAGGTTGCCCTCGCTCGCGGTTGCCCCCGCCAGGGTTGCCCCCACCAGAATAAACAGCCAAATATGCCCCGCCAGGGTGACAGGGTTGCCCCTGCCAGGGTTGCCCCCGCCAGGGTTGCCCCGCCGGGTTACCCTACTAAAAAAAAACCCTACAAAATAAGTGGTTCTTAAGTCCATGAACCTCAACCACCGCCGTGGTGACAGGGTTGCCCCTGCCAGGGTTGCCAAGGTGACAGTGACAGGGTTGCCCCCGCCAGGGTTGCCCCCGCCAAGGTCGCCCCCGCCAGGGTTGCCCCTGCCAGGCTGCCCCCGCCAGATTTGCCCTCACCAGGTTGCCCCCGCCAGGGTTGCCCCCGCCAGGGTTGCCCCTGGGCCAGTACCCCCCCCCAGGGTTGCCCCCGCCACTTGAAGGTTCATGCTACTTACGAACCACTGATAACTGTACTTATAACCCTACTTATAATACCTTTAGTGCCTTGTGGGGGTTATCCCAATTATTTGTAAGGGTGATTGGCCCAGTTATAAGTGGTTCTTAAGTCCCATGAACCTCCAAGCAGGGTTGCCCCCGCCCGAGCTGCCCCCACCAGAGTGGCCCCCCGCCAGTTGCCCAGCGTTGCTCCGGGTTGGTCCCGCCGCCAGGGTTGCTGTACGCCAGGGCGGCCAGATTTCATCAGGGTTGCACCGGTCAGGGCTGCCCCCGCAAGGGTTACCCCCGCCAGGTTTGGTTGTCGGGTTGCCCCCGCATTGCGCCAGCGTTGCCCCTGCCAGGTTGCCCCTGCCAAGGATGCAGGGTTGCCAGGGTTGCCCCCGCCAGGTTTGCCCCAGGGTTGTTTCTATCAGGGTTGTTTTTCAGTTGCCCCTACCAGGGTTGCAGGGTTGCCCTGGCAAGGTTGCCCTGGCAGGGTTGCCCTGGCAGGGTTGCCCCTGCCAGAGTTGCCCCCGCCGGGTTGCCCCGCCAGGGTTGCCCCCCGCCAGGGTTGCCCCCCGCTGGCTTAGCTCTGGCTTTGAGGGTGTCTTAAACACAGCACGGGTGAAACAGATTGTCCCGCTCCCTGTTGATCCAGGAAAGTGTAGGCTCAAGCAACAGCAGCAGTCATACCGGGTTAGACCGCTCTAAACCCGAAAAAGGCGGTAGTTTGGGTGGCTGGGGTGGGATCCGCTGCACCGAGGCGGCCCGACCCGCCACCACTCCCTGGCGGGTCGGGACCGCGGCACCCTAAACCCTAAACCCTAAACCCTAATCCTGAACCCCTAGCAATCCTCCCTTCCCCCCCCTCCCCCCCCCCCCCCCCCCTCCCCCCCCCCCGCCCAGCCTGGAAGCACTGTGGCAACAGGGAAGCCAGCTGACGCCTTGGATCTCAGAAAACCCCGGGGTTTAGGGTTTAGGGTTTGGGATTTAGGGCTTGGGGTTTAGGGTTTATATGGGGTCTGGGGTTTCGGGTTTGGGGTTTGGGGTTTCGGGTTTAGGGTTTTGGGGCTTAGCGTTTAGGGTTTGGGGTTGAGGGTTGAGGGTTTTTTGTGTTTAAAGGGCTTAGGGCTGAGGGTTTAGGGTTGCATCTTTCATCGAGCCCTCACAGGGTTTGTAACTCATGGGACTTCGTAGGGATGCCTGGAGTATAGGGTGTGTGATGATTCCAATCTTTTTGGGGTACTTCTTGTTCCCAAGGAACTTTGACACCACGCGCCAGGTGCCCCAGTAATGGCTCAGGACCTATAACCCTAAACCCTAAACCCCAAACCCTAAACCCTCAACTCCAAACCTAAATCCCAGACCCCAAACCCTAAACTCTAAACTCCAAACCCTAAACCCTATAGGGTTTGTATGGGCCCAGGCCTTCGGGGCTCGGACGACACCCTAAACTCAACTGCTCCTAGAACCTGTTCTGAGTTGACGGCGTCTATGGCACCCCATATGTCCGAAGCCTTTTGAAAACAATACTGGTACCAGGTTAGCCTATCCACAACTGCCATTGCTTCCCCCAAGTACACTTTAAGGCTTCGGTTTTTTGGGGGTTTAAGGCTGAACTTAGGTTTAGGGCTTAGGGTTTAGGGTTGAGGGTTAGGGGTTTGGCGGTTTAGGGGTTTAGGGGTTTTGGGGTTTCGGGGTTGAGGGGTTTAGGGGTTTAGGGATGCAGGGGTTTAGGGGTTTAGGGGTTTCGGGGTTTAGGGGTTTAGGGGTTTAGGGGTTTAGGGGTTGAGGGCACAATCCCAGGAAAGCCGCCACTTCCACTCCGCCCGCGCCCCAAACCACGCGCCCCGCGTCGCGGCGCAGTTGGCGATCTAGGCTTCGGATTGCTCATTGGGGTGTCAGAGGGCACTGGGGGTTTGGGGTTTGGGGCTCAGGGGTTTAAAGGTTTAGGGTTTGGGGTTTGGGGCTTAGGGTTTCAGGGTTTAAGGGTTTGAGGGTTTAGGGTTTAGGGTGTGGGGAACTATCCGGTTCACGACAGGCCACAGAGAGAAAGGCACGGCTGCCCACTCGGAAACATCAGCCACAGCTAGAACTTCCTGATGTGCAAACCTGTATGTAACCTTGTATTTTAAGGTAGTTCGCCTCGGCTTCCTGCCGAGAAGCGTCTGGAACAAGCAGACCCGGATCGGGCCTCCTTCCCCCTAACCCCTTCCCCCCATGCCAAATTTTCTGGCGCACACCCCCCCCCCCCCCCCCGCCCTGTGGGGAGGGTCCCGCTTGTCGGTGGCTCCTACAGGGGGAGTGCCTCAAAACACCCCCCACCCCCCCCCCCCCACACCCCCCCCACCCCCCCCACCCCGCCCCACCCACCCCCCCCCCACCCCCCCCCCCCCCCCCCCACCCCCCTCCCCCCTCACCCCCCCCGACCCCCCCCACCCGCTCTGCCCTTCCTCCCTTTTTTTGCGAAACACTCTTTCCTCCTTTCCTGTCCTGGGGCCGGCCCGGCTGCCGAGGCGGCGCGCGCAAGCGTTTACAATTACATGGTCCCTGAAGAGGAAGGGACCCCTTATATACCCCTTAAACACCCTCTAAAACCCAAGGGCCCAGACTTCAGAACCCTCTAAGGGAAGTAAGGGGCCATATGAAGGGCCCATAACTACCCTCAGATTGTAAACGTCGCCTTTCGGAATCCCTAAACCCTAAGCTCTAAACCCTCCTGAACCCTCAACCCTAAACCCTCTACCCCAAACCCTTCCTAAGAATGTTACTGGAAGAGCTTTAAGAGTTGTCACGGGGAGCTTCTCCTCAACCCCAAGTCCCTAGCCTGAAGCCCTAAACCCCTAAACCCCCTAAACCCCTAAACCCCTAAACCCCTAAAAACCCTAAACCCCTAAAACCCCTAAACCCCTAAACCCCTAATCCCCTAATCCCCTAATTCCCTAATCTCCTAAACCTTAACCCCCAAAATCCCTCAACCCCTAAACCCCTAAACCCCTACTCCCCTAATCCCCTAAACCCCTACTCCCCTAATCCCCTAATCCCCTAATCCCCTAATCCCCTAATCCCCTAATCCCCTAATCCCCTAATCCCCTAACCCCCCAATCCCCTAATCCCCTAAACCTAAACCCCCAAAAACCCTCAAACTCCCAGCGAGCCGCCGAGCGCGCCACGGCGAGGCCGCTCCGGCGCAGGTGCAGAAACCGGGCACGCGAAGGGCCAAGGCCTGTCAGGGCTTGTTAGGGCCGCTAGGGGGGGGGGGGGTTCTTTGGGGTTTAGGGTTTAGGGTTTAGGGTTTAGGGTTTAGGGTTTAGGGTTTAGGGTTTAGGGTCCAGGGGCTCTGGGTGTGTTTTGGCTTGGGGTGTAGGGTTTAGGGGCTTCGGGCTTTTGGGGTTTTTGGGCTTAGGGCAGTTGTCCAGTTTGAGATTGGGATCGCAGGGTATTTAGGGGCTTGGGGTTGCTGGTAGCCATATCTATGGCGTTATGAGGGGTTCTGGTCTTAGGGCTTAAAGTTTTGCGGATTAGTGTTGGCGCTGGTTGGGGGGGAGTTCGCTCGCGTTCCGGACTTCAATAGTCAGGTCCAGGGTTTAGAGTTTAGGGTTTAGGGTTTAGGGTTTAGGGTTTAGGGTTTAGGGTTTAGGGTTTAGGGTTTAGGGCGCAGGGCCTCAAACCCTAAACCATGAACCAAAAAAAACGACACCTCGATTCTTACCATGGATTGCACTTGCTTGCCTGAAGTACCTCAAGTAATCACTAGAAGAAAGTTCGGCAACCCCCGCAGAAACCCTAAACCCTAAACTTTAAACACTAAACCCCAAACCCGACGCGAAACCCAGGGCTCTGCTAAGGTGGTGTCCGCAAGCGAGGGCAGGCGCCTTGCTCGCAAAGCTCACGCAGCAGCTCGACCCTGAAAGCGTGCTCCGGAAACCTCGGCTGCAGCAGGGCTTAGGGTTTAGAAAAACCCTAGAGGGTTCAGGGTTTACAGGTTAGGGTTTTTAGGGTTTAGGGTTTAGGGTTTAGGGTTTAGGGTTTAGGGTTTAGGGTTTAGGGTTTAGGGTTTAGGGTTTAGGGTTTAGGGTTTAGGGTTTAGGGTTCAGGTCTGGCTTCGGCGGGGGGAGGAGGGGGGCGGGGGTTATAGGGCTTAGGGGTTGGGGCTTCAAGGGGCTGTGAAAGCTCATGGGTCCGAGCCCTAAGGGTGCTTCAAATGGTTTTGAAGGCTTCGAGAACCCTAATCCCTAAGCCCTAAGTCCTCCAACTCTCATAGAACATCCGCGCATTTGACCGCATAACATCGTTCAACCCCCATGTAACCCTTTTCAGCACGAGCATGACATGCCATGCCCCTTGGGTTTATTTCGGGCTTAAGGTGGAGGACATTAGTTGCGGAAAGCCTGAAGCCGCGACCCCTTTACCGCTGAGCCTATGGCCCAAATCCTCCCCCCCGCTCATCTTCGCCTTCATGAAACCCTTTTGGCCCCCCTGCCCCATCCCTGAACCCCCACTCAAATGGCTGGTGCGCCGTCGGATCACAGGAGTTTTTGCTTGTTGCAAGTAGGCCATCGACCTAAACTTTAAAAGGAATCGGTTTGGGCAACCTTCACAGTGTCTGCGCCATATCACAGCAAACCCTGAAACCCTAAACCCTACACCCTAAACTCTAAACCCTAAACCCTAAACCCTAAACCTTAAACCCTGAACCCTCCGATGCCCAATAAAAACCCCTCCTTATAACCTCGTGAAAAAAATTTCGGCCGAGGCACTTCTCGAGGATCCAGACTGGCTCCTTAGGGCTCCGGGCTTTGAGGGGCAAAGGCGGTTTCGGGTTTTCAGGGGTTTCGGGCTTCGGGTCTAAAACTCGGACCCTTAACCCTAAACCCTAAACCCTAAACCCTAAACCCTAAACCCTAAACCCTAAACCCTAAACCCTAAACCCTAAACCCTAAACCCTAAACCCTAAACCCTAAACCCTAAACCCTAAACCCTAAACCCTAAACCCTAAACCCCAAACCAAGCCTGAAACTCCGAATTCCATTTAGGGCCCCCCCAATTTAGCCTCCTAGCATTTCAGGCATTTCAGGGTATCAGGGGCCCGGAGGCCTCTCCAGTAGGTTATGGGAGACTTTGGTTCCCCAATCATCTACATGGGCTGTCTGAATGCGTCAAGGTTCGGCTCGACTTAGGCTTAGGCAAACAGCCTCAGGTTCTGCCGTCTGGAGATTAGGGCAACAGAGGTGGGCCGGAGATGGGGGGGAAAGTACTCGTCCTATTTTGTCTGGGATCGATCCACGCCGGAGAAAAAGCAACAGAACAACCCTGCCCTTAGCCCTTGGACTCTTAGGCCCCGGTTCTGACTCCCAGAGGCGACAGTTTCGGGGCTTAAGGGCTGAGGGGTTGAGTGGGTTGAGGGTTTAGGGTTTAGGGTGTAGGGTGTAGGGTGTAGGGTTTAGGGTTTAGGGTTTAGGGTTCAGGGTTTAGGGTTTAGGGTTTAGGGTTTAGGGTTTAGGGTTTAGGGTTTAGGGTTTAGGGTGCAGGGTTTCGGGTTTCGAGTTTAGGGTTTAGGGTTTAGGGTTTAGGGTCACCGTTGAGCACTAAGCCCTGTCCTCTTCTGCATCAAAGCTCCTGGGAGTCTCCTCGGACGGCCGAAGCAAGCCTGCAGAGTGTAGGGCTGAGGGCCTGGGGCACAAGGCCTTTCAGGGTTTGCCAGGGTTTAGGGTTTAATTAGGGTTTAGGGTTTAGGGTTTAGGGTTTAGGGTTTAGGGTTTGGGGTTTGGGGTTTGGGGTTTAGGGTTTGGGGTTTAGGGTTTTTGGTTCAGGGTTTAGGGGTTCATTAGGGTTGATTTGAGAAGGTTGCAGCATGCCGTTGCATGGCCGCGATTGCATGTGATTGCGCCTCGCATTCACAAACGTAAAGTGGGACGTGCCCACAACTACATGGTGCCCCCAAAGTCGCCCTAAACCCTAAACCCTACACCCTAAACCCTAAACCCTAAACCCTAAACCCTAAACCCTAAACTCGAGCGCTTTCAGCGCGTGCCTCGACTCGATATGACGTGGGCGGCTGCTGGCTACCGAGAATGCTTGCAGGCATTATGACTGTGCTTATAACTGTACTTATAACTGTACTCATAACTGTACGTATAACTGTACGTATAACCATAGTGAGGCACTTAGGGGGGGGGGGGGGTTACAAGTGGGTTATAAGTACAGTTATAACTGGTTAATAAGTCCCATGAACCTCCAAGTGGGCACTGCTGGCAAGACTTGATGCTTCTACAGTTGGGAGACGTCACGACCGACAACCTGTCAAACCCCAAACCCAGACCGACAAAAAAAGAAGCTAAACCATAAACCTTACCTAGACCCCCAAGCACCCTTTAAGAAGCCCATTGAGGTACGCTTAGGCTCTTAGTAAGGGGAACTTGCGGGGTGCAAGTACACCCAAACCCTAAACCCTAAACCCGAAAGCCTAAGCCCTAAACGCCCCTCCCCCGCACTTCATTGTGCCGACCTGCCTGCGATAGTGACTGGTCATGGCCTCTAGGCCACTTGCTTTGGGTTTGTAGGGTTTAGGGTGTAGGGCTTTGTAGGGTTTAGGGTTTAGCGTTTAATTGGGGCTTTGTAGGGTTTAGGGCTTTGGAGGGTTTAGGGTTTAGGGCTGTGTAGGGTTTAGAGCTTAGGGTCTAGGGTTGGGGCCAGCAAACCCTCATCCCAGGATTTCCTTGTGACAAAATGGTGTAGGTCTTGCCGTTTTGCATGATTCTCTCAGGGTAGCTTCAGGGTAGCTCCCTTAAAAAGGGACCCCTTATATACCCCTCATATACCCTACACAAAAAAACTAAGGGCCCATACATCAGACATTGAGGGCCCATGAAACTATTTAGAGATTCAGGTCTTCAGGGTTAAATTGTACTATGGTTTGGGGGCTAGGGGGGGGGGGCCATAACTTAGGGAACTGTTGACTGACGATGGCTTTGCTGCTCGGGTTTGGGGTGGGGCATAAAGTCAGAATTGATCGGGCTTGGGCATGTCCCCAAACCCAAGCCTCAACCCTTCAAACCCGGACCTAAAGTAACCTTAAGCAACGTTGAATCCCAAACCCATCAACCTTGACAACCCTTAGATCCTTAAGACCCCAGGCCCGAAAAAACTTCGAACCTGGAAGCCTGCAGCAGCGCCTACACCCGAGAAGCCCCATAAACCCCACGAGCCCCCTAAGCCCCAAAAGCCACATCAACCCCAACAACTCCATAACCCCGCAATCCCATAAATCAAAAAACCCTAAACCCTAAACCCTAAACCCTAAACCCTAAACCCTAAACCCTAAACCCTAAACAACCCTACCACCTTGCCTTGGCCAAAGCCTGCGCATCGCCACCGGTAAGCCGACCTCCACGGTCTGGCGCCGCTGCGGACCTCAACAGGCTTCGGGTTCAGGAGGTGTCGGTGGGTTTAGGGTTCAGGGGTTTAGGGTTTAGGGTTCAGGGTTTAGGGTTTAGGGTTTAGGGTTTGGGGTTAGGGTTTAGGGTTCAGGGTTCAGGTTTTAGGGTTTAGGGTTTAGGGTTTAGCGTTTAGGGGTCTCGGGGGTTTAGGGGGTTTAGGGAGATTTGGGGGGTTTAGGGGGTCTAGGGGGTCTTTGGGTGCTTTAAAGGGTCTGGAGGCTTTAGGAGGTTTGGAGGGCTTAGGGGTTTTGGGGGGTTCTGGCGGGCCTATATAGGGGGTTTGGGGTTTTGGGGGGTTTAGGGTTCAGGGTTGGGGGTTTTGGCGTCTCCGGGGGGATTTGGTTGTCCAGTGTCAGGAGCGTCTGCCACTTCTCTGGCAGCTCGTCTGGCAGGACGAGAGAGGAGCAGACCGTTGGGCAGCGCCAGGTTGCTGAGGCCCAGAGCGTCGAGCTCTCTCGCTACCCTCACAGATGCCGGCGAGCATGCATCCTGCGGCGGGGCTCCAGGTCCTGGACAGCTAGGCTCAGGCTCAGGGTGGCTCCTCTCCGCTCCCTCCTGGCCGGTTGGCTGGAGCCGGAGAACGTTGACCGGGCTTGGGGATCGTGAAAGCTTCAGGCCTTTCTACCATTCGGGCTTCTTTTTGGGTTGACGGGTTTAGGGTGTGGCTAGGGACTTTCTGTGAGCTTCTAGGCGGGTGGGTCAGGAGACCGGGCGGGAGAAAGGGCGAGGGGGGAGAGGACACTGGCTGACTTAAACTCCAACAACCCCACGCGGAGAGTGGGGCAAAACGGAACCGTACAATATGGAAAGCACTGTATATCATCATGCATTAGACTAGGGCCCTGGGGGTCACGAGAGCATAATTATAGGAACCCCAGAGGGGAATACCACTAGCAATTATTCCGACCCCTGTAGTATCCAAATCAGGGGTAGGATGATGCCAAGTAGGTATGAATAACAAGGGTCTAAACCCCTAAACTCCCTGAAAATCCTGGGTTTAGGGTTTAGGGTTTAGAGTTTAGGGTTTAGAGTTTGGGGTTTAGGGTTTCCCCCCAAACCCTAAAAGGCTTCAGGCTATCCGGGTTTAGGGACCCCCAAGTGCCCTGCAAGTGACCACACGTCAAAGAAGGGGGCCGCGGGTATCCAGAGCTGGCGCGGCTCGTTCAGAAAGATCAGAGACCTCTCTCGGGCTTCAGGGGAGTTTAGGTTTAGGGTTTAGGGATTTTGGGGTTCAGGGAGTTCATGAAACTAAGGGTGCAGGGTGGTTTATGCCAGAGAAACCTAATGTGCTAGGCCCGGGCGCACGGGTTCCTTCAGAGATGAGCAAGGGAAAGAGCCGGGGTTCGTTTGAAGGAGCGTAAAGTAAGTCAACACAATGGGGTTGCATGTTGCGAAGAACGTACCCATTGCTGTTCTGGTGATTTAAGTTAGGCACAAGGGGCCCGCCAAGGAGTTCACATGGGGGTTTACAAAAATAGGGGGACCCCCAAGATAGACCCCCCAATTTCATCAGGTACTCCGAACTTCGGAAACCCCCACAGGATAGGCGCCTGTAGTGGCTCAGGATCTCCGCACAGATGGTCGACCCCGAACGTCCACAGCCGAGCAGGAAGCAGATGTTGACCTCCTCTTTATGGGGTGGGTACGGCAGATTATTGTTGGAACCTTGAGTCCCAAATCTTTGGGATGTTCCCCCTTATACTAAGAGTCCTTCATAGGGATTATAGTACCCCCTCTTATACCCTGAGCCCTCTACACCCCCCCCTAGCCCTGAGGTTTTTCGGATGGGCTCAGGGTTACAGGGTTTGCTTCTAGCATAGAGTAGGATGCTAATTGCTTGTATTTCCAAAAGGAAACCAGATGTACCATCACGAAGATCACGAAGGAGCCGTATATGCACTCAGGACCCTAACATGCAGCCTAGTTAATCAAAAACACACCGTTCCCAAAATGACCCACAGATCGCTTGTAAACCCCAAGGAACCCTTTCACAAAGCCCAAGAAGGACCTTGAGTTAAGATCAGCCCCTGTATGCTGGTTGCTCAAAGCACCAGTCCCAAAAGGACACATGAGGGACCTTAAATAACCCTAAGCCCTAAACCCTAAGGTACGTAGACTCCCTTTGGTAGGGATTCCCCTTTCAGGGACTTAGCCGCCTTCGCCCTAGAAAGGTCCAAAAGAACAACCCCAATGTGGGCTTTTTTGGGGCGCCCTACATAGAGCTGCGGCTTTGGGTTTTGGGTTTTGGGTTTTGGGTTTTGGGTTTTGGGCTTTGGGCTTTGGGTTTTGGGTTTTGGGTTTTGGGTTTAGGCTTTAGGCTTTCGGCTTTAAGGGTTAGGGCTCAGGGTCCGAATGGGATCCCCAAAGGGGCAGAGAACCTCCCACACGGGATTCGGAGTGTGTGTTGAGGCTCACAGGCTTGAAGGTTGAGGGTCCCTAAAAACCGAAACCTCCCCAAAAGCCCAAAACTGAACCTGTCATTAGCATCCCAAGGGCCCCGAAACCCGAGACCCTACACCCCCCGAAAGCCTCAACCCTAGAACCCCCCCAACCCTAAACCCTAGCCCCCTAAACCCCAAAACCCTAAACCCTAAACCCCAAACCCCAAACCCTAAACCCTAAACCCCAAACCCTAAACCCTAAACCCCAAACCCTAAACCCCAAACCCTAAGCCCCAAAGCCCAAACCGCAGCCGAGACTTCCGCGCCTCGGCCGGCTGTAGATCCTCGGGCCACTGCACCTGCGCCAAGCCAAGAACTGACCTACCAATTGCTAAGAACCCCGAAAAAATGCAAATGCCCTTCCTTATATAAGGGTAATACAGGTAGTATTGGTTTTTTTGATTTTTGTGTTTTTTGGGGGTGTTCTCAAGCAAGTAGTAGTGAAGGGCTAAGCAATGGTACCACTTCAACGTGGCCCGAGTCAGCTGCGCATCTCAGGACTGTCTTGCCATTCTCGAATTCTAGCCTCTCAAACCCTAAACCCTAGACCCCAAACCCCAAACCCTAAACCTTAACCCCTAAACCCAAAAAGCCCCTGCAAACCTTATAAGCCGCCTTATACCTAAAAGGCCATCTCAAACCCTAAACCATGCGGTCTTGAGTGTTGTCTGATCCTCCTTGTGAAGTCTAAGCGCCTCGGGGCATCCGGGCTTGGGCCGGACAGGGCCTTGCTTCCCTGCTGACCTAGCCTTGGGCATCCGCACCCTACTTTGCTTCATGGGCGTTTCAAAGGAACCCACCCAGAGGCTACGCAAAATCAAGGGAAGCATCGGATCCCTGACCCATACTGTAAACCGTTACAGAGGGTGGGAGGGGAGTACAAGGATCCCTAACTGAGCCCCACCCCTGTCGTGTTCCCGTAACTGTTTGGGGCCCGACGTGGTGCCTCGGCACAGTCCCCACTCAGGAGGAAGGCGTCGAAGGGCGTCGGCAGGAAGACGTCGGGGTCGTAAAGCCTGGGCTCCAGTTCGAGAAGGCGTGAGCGATTCTTATAGAGTTTAGGGTTCATCTTCGCCCCCATTCTCCCTCAGACAGCCACAACTACTTGGAAGCCCTTCTCACTTGGTAAGTAGGGTTAGTAAGGTCTATGGAGGTTAAAAGGGTATCCGGGGGGCCCTAAGAGGCTTACGAACCTCTGTGGGTCGATGGCTGCTTGTGCACCCCAATCTGCTTCGGAACCCTTGTCCCCAAACCCGAAACCCTAAACCCCAAAACCCTAAACCCTAAACCCCAAAACCCTTAACCCCAAACCCCAAACCCTAAACCCTAAACCCCAAACCCTAAACCCTAAACCCTAAACCCTACACCCTAAACCCTAAACCCTAAACCCTAACCCCCCCCCCCCAGGGACCAAGCAGGGGGCAACCAGGGCCGCGCGCTGCTGGGCTGCAGGCAGCGCTTCACGACATCATCTGGGCCACACGGTTCGCACCGGAGGCTCCAAATACCCTAAACCCTAAACCCTAAGCCCTAAACCCTAAACCCTAAACCCTAAACCCTCTTCAGACACGCAATGAGGCCATGTTCCGTACCTGAGAGGGGGAGGGGAGGGAAGTCTCTGAGCACATAGGGTTCCGCGTTTGGCTGATCATCATAGAGCTTCGCGGTCGAGAGCGTCGGGATATAGCGGGTACATAGATAGAAGTCCTACTTAGGGTTTAGGATTTAGGGTTTAGGGTTTCGGGTCTGGGGTTTAGGGTTTAGCCCTACTACACACCTCCCTAAACCCTAAACCGGGTGCACTTTTGGGCGTTCCCATAGGGTATTCTTTAGCTTTTGGGGCGCCAGCCTTGTGTACTTCGCCCTGACGCCCACGACTTCACACTGAACCCGAACGGCTTGAAAAGCCATCACGATGGGTTTAGGGTTTAGGGCTTTTTGGTCAGTAGAGAAAGCCTATGACAAATGAATGTTGACCATCTTGGGTCTTCATACTCCTTGCAGCCATGTCACCGGAACACTCCCGGCCCAGAGGGCCAAAACCCCCAATCAAGAACCCTGGGCTTTGGTAGCCCAAAACCCTAAAGCCTAAAGCCTAAAGCCGAAACCCTAGACCCTGAACCCCAAACCCTAAACCCTAAACCCTAAACCCTAAACCCTAAACCCTAAAGCCTAAACCCTAGTCCCCGCCTGCTGCAGCAGACCCCAAGGCTGCTCTGCGGCTGTGCCGCTCGAGGTCCTGGACACCATCAGTTTAGGGTTTAGGGTTTAGGGTCTAGGGTTTAGGGTTTAGGGTTTAGGGTTTAGGGTTTAGGGTTTAGGGTTTAGGGTTTAGGGTTTAGGGCTCAGGGTTCAGGGTTTAGTGTCTTGTTTGTTTTGTTGGGTGGGGGGGGGGGGGGGGGGTCCATGTTCTGAGGGCCGTGCTCCGCAATGTAAAATTGAAGCCGTCTCGTTGATTCGAATAGGTGTCTTGGGTGTTGATATTATAGTTCTACAAGGAGTGTATTCTGGTATTTGGTTAGGCTCCTGGGGTCATATGGTAACTTGCTCGACATCATGTGCCTTTGGGGGAACCAGCGGTCAGGAATAAAACGCCCCGAAACCAAATGCCATAAACCCCCGAAACCCTAAAGCCTACACCCCCAATCATCCCAGATGCCCTAAACCCTAAACCCTAAACCCTAAACCCTAAACCCTAAACCCTAAACCCCAAACCCTAAACCCTAAACCCGCCTGGCGCAGCTCAGCGGCCAAGGGCATCTCGCCGGCGAAGCTCAAAGCTTCGAGCATGGCCCGCTTCCTTGGAAGATCTCGACGAAGTAGGGGTTTACAAGGGCTTTACCAGGGTTTAGGGTTTAGGGTCTAGGGCTTAGGGTTTAGGGTTTAGGGTTTAGGGTTTAGGGTTTAGGGTTTGGGGCTTGGGCTTGGGATGTTCCCCCTTATACTCGCAGTCCTCAATCTGGATAAGAATCGGGGGTACTAGAATCCTTATTACGGACTGTTAGTACAAGGGGGAACATCCCAATCCTAAGCCCTAAACTCTAAACCCTGTCCTAGATAGGGAGTCTTATGGGGGGTTACTATACTCCCTATTAAGGACTCTGGGTATAAGGGAGAACATCCCAAGCTTGAGGGCGTAAGACGGCAGACAATCGGGCCTGCAGCCAGTTTTCAAGTCTAGGGAAGGTCGCTGGCGGCTCAGAGGCGCGAGAGCCACAAGACCCTAAACCCTAAACCCTAAACCCTGAACCCTAAACCCTAAACCCTAAACCCTAAACCCTAGACCCTAAACCCTAAACCCTAAACCCTAAACCCAAAAAGAGCCTCAGCATGTTCGGGAAATCGGGACCTTCTTGAAGTCCTGATTAGAAGGGAAGTCCCTTCTATTTGGTGCCCTATATTGGGGTGTAGCCTTTATTTTCACAAACCCCCCCAACTAGGGTTTGGTGCTCTACATTGGGGTTTAGCCTTTAGTTTCATAAACCCCCCCAAGTATACGGTTTGGGCTTTCATAGGTATCAGAAGCCCTCGCGGCGCAAACAACAGGCGAGGCGCCTGCCGCATTCGTCGCAGCCGCAGGCCGCCATGGCTCGACATGCAGGGGCTCAGGAGCCTAGCTTTGAAGCCCCTCCCAGGGGTTTAAGGGTTTTAGGGTGCAGGGCTTGGGGTTTAGGGTTCAGTAGGGTTCAAGGTTTAGGGTTTAGGGTTTAGGGTTTAGGGTTTAGGGTTTAGGGTTCAGGGTTCAGGGTTCAGGGTTCAGGGTTCAGGGTTCAGGGTTCAGGGTTCAGGGTTCAGGGTTCAGGGCTTACGGTTTAGGGCTTAGGGGCGAGGGGGGGGGGTGCAGGTTTTGCAGTTTTAGGCTTTGGGAGCCCAGCCTTCTCTACAGGCCTTGGAGGAGTTTTGGGGGAGTTTGGGGCTTGGAGGGTTGTCTGTGAACTTGGGGTTAACGTTTTGAGACATCCCCAAAGGCCCTTCTGGATTAAGGGTTTAGGATCTGGGGTTTAGGGTTTAGAGGTTAAGGGGTTTTTAAAGCTGAAGGAGTTTGGGGATTAGGCGTTGCGGCTTCCTGGTTCTTAGACTGGGTCCCCTTTTTGTTTTCATTCTTAGGCTTCTGGGGATCTAGGTCCCTTTTGGACAGCTGCAGAAACGGGTTTAGGGTTTAGGGTTTAAGGTTTAGGCTTTAGGCGGCAGTAGGGTTTGTGGTTTCGGGCCTCGCGTTGATCTGAGGATGTGGGCCCATTGTGCGGTCTCTGTGGTCCTATATTTCTAGGCCGCACATCCCAAGACAACCTTAAGGTTTAGGCTGTAGGCTATAAGGTTTAGGGTGCTCAACCACTCAACCAAACCATCCAAAAAAACCCAAACGCAGAAGCCCGAAAGCCCTAAACCCCGACATCCCTAAACCCTACCCAAACTACGACCTCACCAAATCCTTAAACCCCAACCTCCAAACCCCATCGATGCCCACCTCCCAACCCCTAACCCTCAACGCCCGCCGAGCGCGTGGCCATCACAGCCTTGGCGTTCCCACCCAGGGCATCCTGGAAAGGGAAGGCCTCTCAAGCCTTGGTGTTCCTTAGCCTTGAGGAGTCTACGATACATTCTAGCAAGGGACCCTAGCTGAGACCAAGACCTCCCAAATCCTGAACCCTAAGCCTAAGACCCTCAAATCCGGAGCCCTAAACTCGAGCCCTAAACTCAACACCCTAGTAAGTCTGCGACTGGGAGGTTCCGACAGCCGAGCCCACAACCTACTGCTCAGCAGCCCGAGCCTAGGGTTCCGGATTCGGGGTTTAGGGCTGAAGGGTTTAGGGTTTGGGGATTGTAGGGTTTAGGGTACTCCGACCCAAGCAACTCCGACCCAAGCAATCGACCTCATCACACACCCTAGAAACCCTGAAACCTAAGCCCCAAACCCTACTAAAGCCTAAACCCGACACCCTAAACCCTAAACCCTAAACCCTAAACCCTAAAATCTCCACTGAAATAGACCCTCAACCCAAGAGCCATGCAGGGGGCTCCTTGAGGACTTTTGTCAGGAAGGAGTTGCGGTAGGGTACCATGCCACTCTTCCTGTCTTCGGCTGCAGGAACGCTTCTTTGGAAACCCTAAATATCCCCTAGCCTTAAGAATTCGAATAGGGGCTTGGGGTGCTAAACCCTAGGCCCCAAACCCCAAACTCTAAACCCTAAACCCTAAACCCGTGTCTAGCTTTGGGGGGACTCTCGGGCTTGGGGGGTTCTCAAGGCTTCGGGTTCCGGGGGGCTTGTTTCACGGCTTCGGGTTCCAGGGCTTAATCCCCATAAGCTCTGGGGGCTTCGGGATTTCAGGTTTCAGGACTTTATAGGGCTCTGACGTCTGAAGGGAGCGGGGGTTCATGGGGGGTAGGTGCCTAGAGAACCTCGGAGTGCCAACCCCTAAACTGAAGCCCTTAAACCCTTAACCACTAAACCCTTAAACCCTTCAACCCCAAAGCCTCAACCGCAAAACTCTAAACCCCTAAGCCGGTAAACCTCAGTCCCGGAGCTCTCTTAGGGTTTAGGGTTTAGGGTTTAGGGTTTAGGGTTTAGGGTTTAGGGTTTAGGGTTTAGGGTTTAGGGTTTAGGGTTTAGGGTTTAGGGGGTTGAACCGGCCGGTCAGTCACTCGGGACCAAGCTTGTTCAGTGCGTTGATCACGCTCTCCAACATGTGCCTGGGCCAGCGAGTGTCTGGGAGCTTCGTGTTTGCAAGGGGTTACGGCCTGTTTAGGGTTTAGGGTTTAGGGTTTAGGGTTTAGGGTTTAGGGTTTAGGGTTTAGGGTTTAGGGTTTAGGGTTTAGGGTTTAGGGTTTAGGGTTTAGGGTTTGGCGTTTGGGGTTAAGGGCTTGGGGTTGCAATAAGCCCGAAGCAGCCCACACGAAACAAACCTGACGGTTTATCTAAGCCCCTACGCAAACCCCTAAACGCTGAACCCCAAACCCAAAACCCGAAAACCTTAAACCCTAAACCCCAAACCCCCAGAAGCCTGAAAATAAAACAACTAACGCTCAAACCATAAACCCCAACCTCCCCACCCCCGCTCCTTCAAAAAAAAAAACAACCTAAATTGAACAAACCCTGGGGGTTCCCTGAGCCCTAAGCCCTCAAGCCCCTAGAGCCCTAAAGCCCTAGAGCCCTGAAAAGCCCTAAATCCCGAAACACTAAACCCTAAAGCCGAAATAAACCCTAAACTCTGAACCGTAAACCCTAAACCCTGAACCCTAAACTGACCCTAAACCCTAAACTTACCAAACCCTACACTTAACAAACCCTAGCGCTCAAACCACAGGGCTCCAGGCAGTGAAAGGTTGATTGAGACGGCCTGGCCCATAAGGACCTTGGCTTGCGTGCAACTTCGTTTGGGGGGGTGGGGGGGTGGGAGGGAGTTGGGGTTCACCCTAAACCCTAAACTACCCTAAACCCTAAACTACCCTAAACCCTAAACCCTAAACTACCCCAAATACCCTAAACTACCCTAAACCCCCTAAACTCACCAGTCCAACGACGCATTGTTTCTGGAAGTGCCTGGCAATCTGTCAGGCCTGCAGGGCTCCGAGCTGCAAGGG